TTCGGCCGCATTACCCATTAACACCATCAATGTAGATCCCAATGAGCCTATATAAGGCGCAGGTCAAAAACCCCTATTTATTTTCTCTCCCTCGAACCTCTTCAGTACATACCCAGACACTGGCTGCATACGCCTTAGCCTATGCCAATTCTGCTGTATTCTGTGGTTCGCATGATCTAGTCCGCGCATCATGCCATATGGTAAAACCAGCCTTGTACTTACCCAACCCTGGTCATTGCGCAAATACCGAATTGTCCGAAATGGACTCGTTTTTGGACACTGGTCTTTGCAGCCCACATCCATGGCCATTTCTTGAGTAGTAGTATTTGCCGCGTCTCCTTGAGATTTCTACTAAGTCGAGGAGAGTAACCTATTAGCATTTTCTTTTTCCGTTGAATCCCCTGTAGGAATTTAGTACTAAGTAGGCCACAAGGACGTCCTAACCGGTGGCTTTATGTTTTTATGTGTACTCGTTCGCACTGGTGACTTGTAGTTCTGCGCCTTTGAACATGAGCGTGTTTTGGACCCTGGCGTATTCCGCAAAGGGCTGTAATTTTTGGACTGGCATGGACTGCTACCACAGGCGACGGTCAGGCCTGCGGCAAAATCTTCGGCAATATCTTATTTCGTAGCCGTATATGTTAGGGGGTTAGGACTAGGGATTAGGGTTAAGGGTTGGGGTAAGGGTCAGGAGCTAGGGTTAGTGCTTAGGGTTAGGGGTTATGAGTTAGGGGTTGCGATTAGGGATTAGGGCTGGGGATTACGCTAGGGCTTGTCCACTCTAGGTACGGCTACGAAATAAGATCGGACTAAATCTTCGTATTCGAAAGTGTTCTTACTTAACATTAATCACATGCGTCATGTGTGGCCAGCAAAATACTTTCCTGTCTAAGTAGCGTAAGACGCTAAAGGACAAGTGAATTGCTCCCAAACCTCTCAACAAAGGCTTTGGGGATTTTAATCGGCTTCCCTATATCACCAGATTATAAGAACGTGCTCATTGTGGGCATTTTTAAATAGCGTTCTGGTAAACCTAGATTATCCTTGATTCCGTAGTCGCCCAATCAACCTGGTACCGAGTCCTCCAGTCACCACAACTTAATAAGTCACATTTATAGTCGGGACAGCGGATAGGCTATGAGGTTTCTTGATCATTTCTGGTGAGTAAAAGTTCTCGATAATGAGAAGAACAGAGTGTCAGCTCGTAACTAAAATTCAGTGAAGGAAATAAATGTATGAAATCAAACCCCCGTTGGGGCGCCCATGGTACTGATGTGACAGTTCGCATCTCCCTGTCCTCCGTTTTTGTCACGCTGCCTTCCTGTCCGCATCACACTCCCCGTTGATCCGCTGCTAAGACGCGTGAATGCTCCAGGCCAATCAACGCTGCCCCACCTCTGATTGGCTAGCGGGCTCTGAGACAATGAAAGGCGCACACAAGCGCTGGGTCTGAGCACCTCGAAGGCGAAGAAAGAACAACAACTTGCTTGGAGAGCGCGCTTGCGGCGACTGCTTGCAGAGCTTTGTGTACGCACTTCCAGCAGTAAAGGTTGTCCAAACCCAATCCGTCTTCCCTGACTTTTGATTTGTGAACCTCTATCTTGTCGACCACACCACATTTGACAACTGGCGACTCACTTGCGAACAGTAATCTTCCCTTTTCCTAATCTACGATAAAGTCAGGCGTTGATAATTGACAATTTTCCACCGGAAGTGCAGCATATTTTGGCACCCGCCTTCGGCATTCTTTCGGCCACGCAACTTACTCAGATGGCCGATCGGCTTATGGAGATGCACGGTTTTCCCAAGCCATCTATTTCAGTACTCTCAACTCCCTCAACTCCTCCTGCGTCTCCCGTCTCGCAGTTAGAGCTCGTGCTTACCAAGCTGGCCGACGTTGTAGCTTCTCTTCAGAAGTAGACAATTTCTCCCTCATCTCGGAGCCAAACGAAGTCGTCCACACCGCATGTCCAGTCTGCATATCCAGCCCCTTCCAACACAGCCGTCACTTGCTAGTACCACAACACCTTCGGCGCTAAAGCCCGTTGCTGCATCTATCCCTGCTCCTTCACCTCCAAGCAGAGCAAAGGGGTAAAACCGGTCAGCCTGAAGGTCAGTGCAGCCAATCTTCCCGACAGCTCTAACCCTGGTCGTAAATTTTACGTCCACGACACCCGGAGTGGCAGACGTTTCTTGGTTGACATTGGTGCCCAGCTAAGTTTCATTCCACTCACACCAGCTGATCGTCGCCGCCCCAATCCCGGCCTTTTCCTACAGGCCCTCAACACATCGCCAATTACCACATCTTGCACCCGCTCCCTCCCTCTGGACATCGGTCTCCGGCGTCTTTTCCCTTGGGTCTTCGTCATTTCTGACATCCCCTGTGCCATTCTCGATGCAGACGTCCTCGCCGCCTTCGATCTTTTGGTCGACTGCCGTCAGTCCCGTCTACACGACAAGACCACCAACCTCACCGTCCGGGGTATTTCTTCCGACGCTTCCCGTCAACTCACCGTTCTGGACCCTGAAATCGAGAATCCAGTTCGGCAACCTCTCGCCAAATACCCCGGCCTCACTCGTCCCAACTTCAGCGCTTCTTTTCTGCCACACGACGCTGTTCGCACATCCGGACCACTGGCCTCCGTGTTTTCTCGGACCCGCCGTCTCGTGCCTGCACGTCTAGCTGCCGCCAAGGCCGAGTTCGAGCACATCATCATCCGTCAGTCTGAAAGCTCATGGACCTCACCCTTCCACAGGGTCCCACAGGCTGCCACTGGCGACTGGCGCCCCTGCGGTGATTACAGGGTCCTGAAAAACGTTACTGTCCCGGACCGCTACCCTGTCCCACACCTTCAGGATTTTACCGGGGCCCTATTCGGCAAATCGGCGTTCTCGAAGATTGACCTGATCCGCGCCTTCCACCAAATTCCCATCGTCCCAGAGGACGTTTCGAAGACGGCCGTCACCCCCCCCCCTTGGCCTTTTTGAGTCCCTGTGCATGTCGTTTGGATTTCGCAACGCCCCCCAGACCTTCCAGAGTTTTTTAGACAGAGTGTTTCGCGGCCTACCATTTGTCTACGCCTGTGTCTACGACCTTCTGATAGCCAGCTCCACCACCGAAGAACCAATGGAGCATCTTGCAACGGTGTTTGACCGCCTTCAACAATTTCGCGTTGTTCTCAACCCGTCCAAGTGCATCTTCGGTGTTCCCTTCCTAGAGTTTCTTGTTCATCTGGTCGACTCTTACGGAATCCATCCTCTTCACTCGAAGGCTGTGGCCATCCGTGATTTCCCTCCTCCATCTTCCAAACGTCAGCTGCAGCTATTTCTGGGTATAGTGAATTTCTACGACCGGTTCCTTGCGCACTATGCCGACACCATCCTCCCGCTCACGAGCCTCTTCTCTGGTCCTAAAGGTTCGTTCGAGCTGTCTGCAGACACCCCTCGCTACTTTTGGCAAAATGAAGGCTGCCCTGACCGACGCCACCCTCCTGACTCATTTTTCTCCCTATGCTCCCATCTCCCTCATGGCTGGGGTGTAGGGGTGTCAGCGGTGGGTTCACGTAATGGTCGTGGTGGTCGCTCACTTGCTTGCAGGTGAGACTGCGCCTAGCGTCCACTTGCTGGCACTCAACTCTCACCTGTGGCTCCACGTAGCTGGGCTCTGCTCAGCGGCCACCTCCCGGGCAACCGTCTCGACCGGCGGGCTAAACCAGGTGAGGGGGCCCTGTGCGCTGTGCCGTGTGCACAGGGTTTGCGGATTC